TTAGATTGCAATTACAATAATGTTACAGTAGTTATAAACTCGCTGCAAGTATTTTTATGAAGATTAAACTCCATGTTGTGACGTCTTAAAATCCCTTTGAAAATATATCTTCTTTTTTTTGGTGGTCCTTCACTTTGAGAACATATACGCTACATACACGCAGATAAATAAAAAAACAGCTCAAACAAGCACGTGAAAACACAAGCATCACAATAATTTATAGTATAATCACGTTGTTTCAAGTCAAACATAGGTTGGCGAGATTTGCAAGAAATTACTTTAGTTATAATCTTCAACACAAATTTAAGTTTTATTTTGAGATGATTTTTTATTATTTTAAGTTTTTTTTATATAAAAAATTAAATTATAAATTTTTGTACTTGAAAACTAATTTAGAAAGCATCAAGAAAATTATCTAATATGAAGCCTTAATTAAATAAAAATTGTAATTACATAATGCATTATGTACTTTCTTTTGTACCTTCTTGTCTCTTGCCTTTGCATTGGTCTATATATTGCTATGTAATCTGCTTTAGTGTAATGAAGTAAATAGTTTTCTATGTTTTCCAAATTCCATCCTCTCTCGTGATGAATGTTTCTTCTTTCCTGCTTTCTCTCGATTTCGATCTTTGCCATGCCTTTCTACATGGTATCAACAGCCTTGATTCTGTTCTAAACTATTCTTTCTTTCCCGTGAATCCTCTGCTACTATGTCTTCCACAACTCAGGCAGACAAATTCTTCCACACCTCTGACAGCGCCAACTCCCCCAAAATCCCCTCCTCTCTAAAATTCTTGATGAGCAACGTCAAGAACGTCATCTCTCAACCCCTTACGGCGGATAATCATCCACTATGGCAATCTCAAGTGCTGAAATTATTTCAAGCCAACAAGTTCGAAGGCTTCTTAGATGGCTCCACAACATGTCTGCCTCCTTCGCTGCAAACCGACGACGAACAAACTCTCCCCAACCGTCCCACACAAAATGGATCTTGTTGGACCAAAACCTTGCAGTGGCCATCTACTCCATAATCTCCTCCACAATCTTGTCATATGTTTTTTCGGTAGATCATTGTACCGACATATGGACAACTCTTGACCGTCGTATTCAATCTTCCACCCGGGCAAGAATCATCCAACTAAAAAACGATATGCATTATTTGCCTATGAAAGACAAATCAATGACTCAATACGATCTTGAAGTTAAAGCCAAGATCGACGCTCTTACGGTTCCTGATGCTCCAACTGACGCCGAAGACGTTATTCACTACACGCTCAACAGTCTACCACACAACTATCAAGCCTTCAAGACCGCTATTCTCCCTAATCTTTGCCCGGTTACCCTGAACGAACTCTACATGCTACTATGTTGCGAGGAGCTAAATCTTGCCCATGAAGCCACTAAAGATCTCTAATCTTTACAAGTCTCTGGCAATAATACGGTGCTTACAGCAACTAGAGGGCGTGGTAGAGGATGAACTTCATATTCTCGGGGTCGTAACAACTGCCGCACGAACAAATATTCCAATCCCAACCGTCCCGCTAAATTACCTAGACCAGCAGTCACATGTCAAATTTGCAGAAAATTTGGTCACACAGCCGTCAAATGCTGGCATCATCATGACGATCACTACACCACCAATCCCCCATCAGCCTTCTTTACATCACCCTCACCGTCCACCCAGTCATAGTGGTTTCTTGATAGCAGAACCTCGTCCCATCTCACATTCGATCCAACCCAACTACAAAATACTCACGCCTATAATGGCTCAGGTCAAATAGTTCTTGGCAACAGCCGCCAACTACCAATATACACTACGAGTAAAGGATTACTTCCTACACCCACAAGTAGCCTTCAATTATCTAACCTCAATCTCGTTCCCAACCTATCTTTCATTCTCTTATATGTTCACAAATTAGCCACTAACAATAACTGTCTAATTACTTTATCATCTAATGGCTATAAAATAAAGGATCGAAAGTTCAACCACCATCTTCTCACGGGTCCGTGTATTAATGGACTCTATCCCTTTCGCAGCAAATCGTCCATGACCTCCTTTGTGACTCAACTTGCTATTCTCTCAATTCAACAAGTTCTAAAAATGTGGCGTCGCCGGCTTGGACATCCTTCGACTCAAACTCTTGTCACTATTGCTAATCACCATAATAATGTATGTATTCCCACAAATGCATCTATGTGCAACACATGTAAAATGGTCAAGAGCCATCGCTTACCTTTTGACAAATCTCAAAGTGTAACTAAGTTCTCGTTTTATCTAGTTCATTCTGATGCATGGGGTCCTTTTCCCATTATATCTTCACAAGGATATAGATTTTAAGTTTCATTTGTTGATGAATTCACTAAGTACACCTGAGTATATCCTTTAATTCATAAATCTAATGTGTTTATTAAATTTCTTGAATTTCAACGAATGGTCGAGCATCAGTTTAACTACAAAATACTTATACTTCATACTGACAGAGGTGGAGAATTCAATAATATCAAATTCAAAACCCTCTTCCAATACAATGGTATTCTTCATCAACTCACCTGCCCACACTCGCCATCACAAAATGGAGTGGCCCAACGTGAGCACCGTCATCTAACTGAAACCACTCGCGCACTTCTTATTGAAGCCTCTCTACCACAACATCTATGGGTTGATACACTCCTTACACCTTCATTCCTAATCAATCATTTACCCTCACCCAACACTCACAATAAATCTCCCTATGAACTTTTTTTTGGCACACCTCCTACGTACAATCATCTTAGAGTCCTCAGTTGCCTTTGTTATCCACGGCTAAAGCCATACTCTCCCAATAAACTCTCACCTCTATATCTTCCTTGCGTCTTCATTGGGTACACTCCATTTCAAAAAGGCTATCGATGCTTGGATCCTAAAACCAATAGAATTTATACCTCTTGTCACGTCATCTTCAATGAATCTATATTTATTTACTCCAACTATTCATCTCAACCTACACTCACATCCCTAACATCTACCACAACACCACCTCTTCTACTCGTTCCCACAACCAATTTACCTACATCTCTCACAAACTCATCTACATTTCATAATACCAACTCCACGACAACACCTTCACTATAGGTGCAATCCACCGTAGCTTCCCCTTCTCAAATTCTAATTTTATCCAATATTTTAATCGAGAATTTTTGTATGAGACTATGTCTCACTACAATGTAATTACTATGAGGGCTTGCTCTCGTAGGACATTTAGAACCCGCATTAATTTTTTAAAATTTATTTTTAAAACTCACTTGATATTTCATTTTGGAAATCTACTTTGAAATGATTGTAATCATCATATTCGTATAGTGGCTAACGAACAATACTCTCTTTCTCCAAAGAGATTTGTCGTGTGTTAGCATCAACCATAATATGAAATTAACGATCTGTTGACCTCATTATTTGAGGTCAATTTCCCCAGAATCAAACTCGCGACCTCTCGCATGATCCCAATTCTCTTAATGATCGTAGTTCGATTCTAGGTTGAACCTCATTTTGACCCTCCCGGGGCCATATGCGGTTCTCCTTTAAATTAGACTACGACAATTAAGAAAAAATTTATAATTCCGATTCTAAACCTATTAGGAGATTTTATCTCCGCCTTTCGAGATGGTATATCATCTCTGATGGTTAGTTTGACTTTAGAATTAAAACTCAAACTTAGTTTCCTAAAAGAAATATTTAAAGCTCAAATTAGTATTCTTTGGAAAAATTTAACCAACGACGATCACTATCGTCATGTCTGAATAATTGTGAAGTAATTATATCCCGTTCCTTAAGGAAGTTATATCATTTGTTAATAAGGATTCATGCATGAGATCAACGATAGTCCACTTAAATTAACATAGTTATAAATTAGATCGAACTTCATTTTGGCATTTAGAGGTCATATGCGGTTCTATCCTAGATCCGGTTATGATATTAAAAGTGGAATTTGTAATTTCAAATTTGAACCCCACTTTGAAATTTTATCTCCACTTTTCGAAGTGTTTTAATTTTTCTAATGGGACAGTCGATCTCAAAATTCAAATTTAGAAGTCGATTTTAGAGTTCCAAAGAAAACTAAACTTTTCCAAAACATGTTTTTTTCAAAATTCTACAAACAACAGTCATTTTAGTAAATTTGGCCAGATCTGAAGCACTCAATCATTAGATTCATGTTGATTCACTTAACCATAAATCATTTATCAAATATTTAAATGTCTAAATGAGGTTAGAATGAGTTATCTAAGGCCCATTAGATTCTTTTTATCGAGTTGCTCAATTCGAATATAAGCAAGCATGTTAATTAGATGCCATTTGGTACATCAATTTAGTTTCTAGATCTTTCAAACATAACCCAACAGAGCGTAATTAGAGCTCATTCAGAGTCAGATTGGATCAATTGTAGCATCAAAGATTTGTCTAATCGAGACGTTCAATTTGACTATAAATATATTAATATGACAGTTTGGTTGACCCAAAATTATTAATTCTAAAATCAATCACTACAAATATTATGTCGAGATTCATGTCAATCAAAAGAATTTTCTATACATATATCAAATATCACTCTTTACAAACAAAAATATCTTTTATATATATATATATATATAATCACTACAAAATTTCAGATTGCTGCATCAATCATGATTAGATAGAGATAGAATACAACAACCATACATTAAGATGATAAAAGACGCACACATACATACCACTCAACGACAGACTTATACATTGAACATATGGTACGTAGTACACAAAATGAAGGACATAAAAGAGACAAGCAGGGAAATAAAATATACGTATAAAGGTACATACGTACTGCCCTCCCTATCCATTCATGCATGTGGTGGAGAGCTTTCTTTTATTTGAAAGCAAAGAGACACATTAATATATTATAATTAACACTAGGCATGGCTGGAAGTTCATATACGATATATTCATGGTCAACACACCCAGCCACTCCGGTCTCAGATAAACAATAGGATCATCTGCCAGGTGTCGACTCTGGGAGTTCGGCTTGTTCTGGGTCCAACACTGGGAGTTCGGCTTGTTCTGGATCCAACAATGGGAATTCGGCTTGTCCTTGGTCCTCGGGAATTTTTGGAGTATTCAACGGGTAAATCGGTATCTTCTTATCTTCATAAGACAGATACGCAGCGCCGTACGCCACAATTTCATCAGGATTATCTATCCCTTCCCACACCTCAGCCTTGCTGAAACTCTCTTTCACCGCCTTCCTCACTTTCTCTGACCTTGACGCCTTACCGACGAACACCACCTTATCCACCTCAGTCTTCTTGATGTTTAGAATCTCCACTATATTCTTTAGAATACCAGCCAAAATGTTCTCAAATGGGTCCACAACGAGTGCCTTCGCAGTTCCTCCAATAATTCCTATTATTCCACTCCTACTACCCTTTTGATCCTTCGACCCATCCAAGTCGATCACCTCAGGATGAGCTTCGTGTGCCTCTAGGACGAAATGATAGTGTTCATATTGGTTTATTGGGGGAACTATGGAGACCACGCTGATTTCGAGGATGCCACCCGTTAGAGAAATGATGGCGAGGTTCGTGGAGATTTTTGGTTGAACCTTCTTGACATAGACGGCAGAAACGGCGGTGTGTTCTTTGATGACTTGTGTGATGTTGAAGCCATTGCCCCTCCCGTACGAGATTATGTCATCTTGGTATTTTTCACTCGTGTTGTTAGGAATGACTATAACGGCAGCGTCGAAGTTTGGGGCCCCGAAGAAGCTCTTGACAACGTCCACTGCATCTTTCAGAATCGCCACCACTTCTTCCTTTGTTGTCGAAGCAGCTACACCCCTTAGTTTCAATCCTGCGATTTTTTTTAATAAATAAATATAGGCAACTCATCTTCATCTAGTGGTTCGGAGTTTTGACTCATCTTGATATATGAGAGTTTAACTTAATTGGCTTAAATGTCCAAATAATATATGTTTGGGTTAATTTGTAAGCTTTCATTTTTAATTTTAGATTTTAAATTGAAAAAGATTTATGAAAATTTTTACAGATAAACTAAGTTAGTTAGAAAAATAAATGTCGACTGCATTTTTCTGTGAAATTGAAAATTATCTGTGCAGTAGAATAAATGTTCTGAAATGTTGTTATTTACATTCTGTGCTAATTTGGTGAATTTTGATTTGCAGGAAATTTTGTGTAAATTCCGTATACTGCCGTTGTGCTGCCCGATTTTTGTCTGATTTCTGATTTGCCCGGATTTCTTCTGAATTGAAATGTTATCTGTATGTGCTATAAAAAGGGAGTTATAAGGGGCCTGGATCCTATGAGATTCAGTTAGTTAGTGTCTGGGGAAATCTTAGTTGAGCTCAAATTGGAGAAATATCTGTTCTATTCCGGATCCGAGGAATTCTGTTGTTGTGGTGCCGTGAGCACACTTAGTTATTAATTACTCAGAGAATTTCTGGTGCCGTGAGCACATGGGAGATATAAGGGTCAGAATCCGTAGTGATTCTGTTTAGTTTAGTTTTAGCTATGAAATATTATCTGATATCTGATTCAATCTGATTCTACTTTCCGTAACTATTCTGTAAGCAATTATGATTCTGATACGATATGATCTGAAATTCTGATTTCTGATTCTGTTAATGTGATATGTCTGATCTGTGCTGTTTCTGATTTGATACGGCTTCTGTTTCCGTACAATTCTGTTAATTTGATATCTGTTCTGTTCAGTTTTGTTCTGATATGATTTGAAGTTCTGATTTCTGTACGATTCTGACTCTGTTGATTTAATCCGTTCTGATTTGTATTCTGATGTGATATCTGTCCGTATCTGTTCTGATTTGTTCTGTTTCGTTCTGATAAGTTCCGATTTGGATATTTGTCTGATTCTGTTCCGATTTCTGTACGGATTTCTGTCTGATGAGTTTGGTTTTGGATTCTGAGAGTTGTGATTGGAGGTTTGTTGCTTTGCTGAGCTGTTGAGCTCACTCTTATTTTCTGGTGGTTTTCAGGTTCTGGGAAAGAGAAGGAAGTCCAGGAATAGATTTCTGAGTTCTGATCAGTATAGGTATTGTTTGTACCTTTTGATTTTTGTACAGTCATGGCTTTTTTGTTCTGTCTTTCTTTCTGTTCAAAAGCCATGTACTGTATCTGTAGATGATTGTTTTGAGGAAAAGAAAAGATAGATGTTTTGTTCCGCTGTGTTTGGTGATTTATAGTAGCTCTGTGTTTCTGTGTTTGTGTGTTTGTTTGAATTAAATAATTTGGAAGATTCAGTTCAGAACCAAATTCCATAACCAGATCCTGGTTAGTCCGTCCGTTTTCGGTTCCGTGTCGCGGCCCGGTGCGAGCGGGATCCGTCCCGGATCAGGTCGGGTCGTGACATTAATGATGTTAGAATGAGTTATCTTAGGCTCATTATATTCTTTTATCGAACCGCTCAATTTGAATATAATTAAGCATGTTAATTAGAAGCCATTTGGTACATCAATTTAGGTTCTAGAGCTTTCAAACATAACCCAAGAGAGCTTGATTAGAGCACATTCAGAGTCAGATTAGATCAATTGTAGCATCAAAGATGTCTTATCGAGACGTTCAATTTGACTATAAATATCTAGATATTACAATTTGGTTGATCCAAAATTATTAATTCTAAAAACATTCACTACAAATATTATATAATTCATGAGAATTTTCCTTACATATATCAAATATTATAGAAAATCACTACAAAATTTCAGATTGCTGCATCAATAATGATTAGATAGAGATAGAATACAACAATTAACAATACATTAAGATGATAAAAGACATACCACTCAACAAATGACTTATACATTGAACATATGGTACGTAGTACACAAAATGAAGGACATAAACGAGCCAGGAAAATAAAAAAAAACATACAAAGGTACGAACGCACCGCCTTCCCCATCCATGCACGTGCTGGAGGAAAAATTATTACATCCGGATTCCGGATTCATCTGGAGGTCAATCCAGATGTGCCATGCCACCCGGGACCCAATGCATCCAGGTGATGTGGCACATTCTAATTCACCTCCGGACGACTCAAATACCGCACGTAATAATCTCTCGGGGTGGAGATCTTTCCTTTATTTGAAAGCAAAGAGACACATTAATATATTATAATTAACACTAGCTAGACATGTCTGTATGTCCACATACGATATATTCATTGGGAACCCAATAGTGCACCCAGCCAGATCAACATTAGGATCATCTGACAGGTGCCGATTCTGGGAATTCGGCTTGTCCTGGGTCCTCAGGAATTTCTGGGAATTCGTCTTGTCCTGCTAGGTCCTCAGGAATTTCTGAAAAATTTGAATCGTGCATCGGTATCTTCTTATCCTTATAAGACAGATACGCAGCACCATACGCCACAATTTCATCATCAGGATTATCTATCCCAGCTTCCCACACCTCAGCCTTGCTGAAACTCTCTTTCACCGCCTTCTCACTTTCTCCGACATTGACGCCTTACCGACGAACACCAGCTTATCTGCCTCAGTCTTCTTGATATTTGGACTCTCCAGTATATTCTTCAGAATACCCAAAACGTTCTCAAATGGGTCTACAACGAGAGCCTTCGCAGCTCCTCCAATAATTCCTATTATTCCACTCCCACTACTACCCTTCTGATCCTTCGACGGCTCATCAAAGTCGATCACCTCAGGATGAGTTTCGTACGCACGCAGGACGAATTCATAGTTATCAATAAAAGGTGATGGGGGAACTATGGAGACCACGCTGATTTCGAAGATGCCACCGGTCAGAGAAATGATGGCGAGGTTCGTGGAGATTTTTTGTTCAACATTTTTGACATAGACGGCAGAAACGGCGGTGTGTTCTTTGATTACTTGCGTGATGTTGAAGCCACGGCCCCTCCCGTAGGAGATTATGTCATCTTGGCCTTTTTGCTCCGTGTTGTTAGGAATCACTATAACGGCAGCGTCAAAGTTTTGAGCGCCGAAAGAGCCCTTAACAACGTCGACGGCATCTGTCAAAGTCGCCACCACTTCTTCCTTTGTTGTCGAAGCAGCTGCCCCCCTCAGTTTCAATCCTGAGATTATTAATGCAAATGTAAATATACGCAAGACTCAAATCCAAGACCTCTTAGTTGATAGCCAAATTTTCAAGCTGCGTAAATCAAGGCTTACACAAGCAACAATAATGTACTTAATGCAAATGTAAATATAACATAGACATTATGTGGCTTTTTATATATAGCAGTAAAAAGGACTTTGAGATGCCAGAGATTCTAGTATTTTAGATGGTATTGTATTAGAGAGAGAGAGAGAGAGAGAGAGAGAGAGAGCATGGCTTGTTTGGTTTGATTCCATTTAGATTTTATTTGTGACATTTTTTCATTATTTTGTAAAGAAGTTTTTTTTATAAAAATTTTAATTAAAAAAAATTATATTAAAAAATTGCTTTAGAAAATAGTAGAACAATTGTCCCAACTAAAGCCCTAACCAACTCAATTTTTTAATATTTTTTGTTTAATCTACTGAATGAAACTATAGATATATAATATTCCTAATCATATGACTTGATCTTTTCTTGGCGAAACATTAAAAAGCATGCAACAGTTCGTTGATTTTGGTAAGCTAATTTATTTTCAATTATGTATTATTTAAATATATCTATAAATTAATGTAAGACGTTATTCAGGACAAATGAGCGTTGATTACAATACTATTCAACATACTATTTTGAATAATTGAATAAAAAACTATCCATAAATTATACTATTCAACATACTATATTTAAATTTAAATATATCTATAAATTAACTTTATTTTTTCCACTTTTTTTTTACTGCTTTTAAATTCTATGTTTGAAAAATTATATGTGAAAATCATCTCTATTGACGACTGCATATTTTAGAATTAGTGAATTTCTATTTCATAGTTCAAAAAGGTTTTCCAAAATTCAAGAAAATTTTGAAATAATCAATCACTCCTCTTGGTTAGCCTTATATGATAGTTCTATTAGATTTAATACATGGCCTTGCATGTATCGTCAATAGGAAAAATTTGGGTTATATCAAAGTATTATCTTGTTTCCATCGTATTTTATTAAAATCTTCTATGTTTTTAGTTGACACAATGGGAAATATTAAAAAGGTTCAGATTTTACTAGGAATAAGTTAAATAACAATGAATGATAATTTCTTTTAAAAAACAATAAAAAATTAGCTCTCAATAATTTATGCTGTTGTAAGTAAAAAAAATATGCTGATACAGGACAACATAGAGCACAACACTATTGTTAGCATTTATATATAATAATCAATTGTGTTTCATTCTTTCACATATTTTATTTTCATATATATCTTAAAATTTCATGTCAAATAGCTTTGTATCTATCTTCAAGCTATTCTAACAAAAATTTGATAGGAATAGTTGTATTTATTATATTTTATTTGAAATGAACATAATATAAATGTTGATTAATTAACTATATTTTGGATTAACACTAGTAAAAATATAAGATTTTAACAGCAATTTTTAGTACTGGTTTTAAAACCGTTGCTATAGATTGGTATAGGATGCAATTTTAATCGTTGCTAATTTAAAAAAAAAAGTAATATTTTAGCAGCAATTTATATCTAGAGGCAGTTTGTCAACCACTGTCACCGTGCTTTCAATTCAAAATCACTACTATGTGCCATTTAATTTGCTCATTCCACCAATATTTGCCTCAAAAACCCCAATCCTAATGTTACTGGAAATATTCCGAATCAGGGAAGAAGCACCAGTAGGAATCCTTTAGGTTCTAGGTTTCAATTTAAATCCAAATCTAAAAATGCTTATATGCCTAAACCCTCTACCACACAATTGGATCTTTTGGGGGCTCGCCCTTCTAAGGTTTTGTGAATTCTTGATTGAATGAGTTTGGAATGTCTTCTGCAAATGCATTACGATATATTTTAATGCAATTTGTCTTTTGTAATTGTTATGTTACCTTTTTTTTTTTGGAGCTTAATTCATGTTTCATGCACATAATATAATTTGGAGTTAAAGAAAAATAGCCTATAGCTCTATCTATGAGGTTACTAGATATTGAAACTTACAATCTTTTTTTAAGAAATGTACGATACTTGGAGCCTCTCTCATATTTTCTAGGCTGATGTAGCACTCGAAACTTTTTTGATATCATCATCATCTAATGCTTGATAGATGAGGAAGAGAGCCTTATTGTCTCTCTTTCTTGAATCTCTTAAACTATCCTTCTATGTTAAGAATAGGATTGACTCATCGCTTGACTCATTATAACTTTTTCTCTACAATCTCTGAAATGTCATGGGCTCCAAGAAGCACCTGCATCTTTATACTTTAATCATTATAATATGTTGTCTTGAGCAATGAAACTTGGAAGGAAGTCATGCCTCCATTCACCATCTCTCAAAAGAAACATGGCTCTGATACCACTTTGTTGGAATGAAAAGAAATTCAGAACAAGAGAAGGCTAAAAAGAAAAGGAAAAGAGAGAAGATGAAAGAATCTATAAGTTTATTTCTCACTTTTAGCTTGATACAAACTCAAATACATTACCTCTACTTATACTAATAGTTCACCATTAGGATTGTGCCAACACATTTGAATCCAAGTGACAAATGACTCTCTAGAGTATTTTTAAATCTATTATCATAACGGACATTAAATCTTATTCTAGACATTTCTAAGAGTTACTCTACAATAGATTAATCTAGAATATGAGCTTTAATCAAATGCCCAAATAACAATGGGCCAAATTTAAGTTTATGTACAAGAGTACATAGTGGAATTCATAAAGCTTCCATTATGTTATAAGTCAATCCTGATCCTTCATTCTTCACATGCTCTACATATGAAATGTTGCTTAATAACATACTCTGCAAAAGTAATTAATCTTTATATATATGTGTAACAGTCTGTAGCAGGGTTTGTAAATGAAATATAAGAAAGTCGTTTACAATGCTTGTAGATGCATCGGTTTTGCATCATTTTTTTTAAAAACGCTACAAGAAAACTTGCACGTGTTTTAACCGGTGCAGTAGATCAAAAAAATGTTGTGAAAGTCAAATTTATTAGTATTGGTGGTTTAAAAAACTAGTAACTATTTCATTAGATTGCAATTACAATAATGTTACAGTAGTTATAAACACGCTGCAAGTATTTTTATGAAGATTAAACTCCATGTTGTGACGTCTTAAAATCCCTTTGAAAATATATCTTCTTTTTTTTGGTGGTCCTTCACTTTGAGAACATATACGCTACATACACGCAGATAAATAAAAAAACAGCTCAAACAAGCACGTGAAAACACAAGCATCACAATAATTTATAGTATAATCACGTTGTTTCAAGTCAAACATAGGTTGGCGAGATTTGCAAGAAATTACTTTAGTTATAATCTTCAACACAAATTTAAGTTTTATTTTGAGATGATTTTTTATTATTTTAAGTTTTTTTTATATAAAAAATTAAATTATAAATTTTTGTACTTGAAAACTAATTTAGAAAGCATCAAGAAAATTATCTAATATGAAGCCTTAATTAAATAAAAATTGTAATTACATAATGCATTATGTACTTTCTTTTGTACCTTCTTGTCTCTTGCCTTTGCATTGGTCTATATATTGCTATGTAATCTGCTTTAGTGTAATGAAGTAAATAGTTTTCTATGTTTTCCAAATTCCATCCTCTCTCGTGATGAATGTTTCTTCTTTCCTGCTTTCTCTCGATTTCGATCTTTGCCATGCCTTTCTACATGGTATCAACAGCCTTGATTCTGTTCTAAACTATTCTTTCTTTCCCGTGAATCCTCTGCTACTATGTCTTCCACAACTCAGGCAGACAAATTCTTCCACACCTCTGACAGCGCCAACTCCCCCAAAATCCCCTCCTCTCTAAAATTCTTGATGAGCAACGTCAAGAACGTCATCTCTCAACCCCTTACGGCGGATAATCATCCACTATGGCAATCTCAAGTGCTGAAATTATTTCAAGCCAACAAGTTCGAAGGCTTCTTAGATGGCTCCACAACATGTCTGCCTCCTTCGCTGCAAACCGACGACGAACAAACTCTCCCCAATCAAGAACGTCATCTCTCAACCCCTTACGGCGGATAATCATCCACTATGGCAATCTCAAGTGCTGAAATTATTTCAAGCCAACAAGTTCGAAGGCTTCTTAGATGGCTCCACAACATGTCTGCCTCCTTCGCTGCAAACCGACGACGAACAAACTCTCCCCAACCGTCCCACACAAAATGGATCTTGTTGGACCAAAACCTTGCAGTGGCCATCTACTCCATAATCTCCTCCACAATCTTGTCATATGTTTTTTCGGTAGATCATTGTACCGACATATGGACAACTCTTGACCGTCGTATTCAATCTTCCACCCGGGCAAGAATCATCCAACTAAAAAACGATATGCATTATTTGCCTATGAAAGACAAATCAATGACTCAATACGATCTTGAAGTTAAAGCCAAGATCGACGCTCTTACGGTTCCTGATGCTCCAACTGACGCCGAAGACGTTATTCACTACACGCTCAACAGTCTACCACACAACTATCAAGCCTTCAAGACCGCTATTCTCCCTAATCTTTGCCCGGTTACCCTGAACGAACTCTACATGCTACTATGTTGCGAGGAGCTAAATCTTGCCCATGAAGCCACTAAAGATCTCTAATCTTTACAAGTCTCTGGCAATAATACGGTGCTTACAGCAACTAGAGGGCGTGGTAGAGGATGAACTTCATATTCTCGGGGTCGTAACAACTGCCGCACGAACAAATATTCCAATCCCAACCGTCCCGCTAAATTACCTAGACCAGCAGTCACATGTCAAATTTGCAGAAAATTTGGTCACACAGCCGTCAAATGCTGGCATCATCATGACGATCACTACACCACCAATCCCCCATCAGCCTTCTTTACATCACCCTCACCGTCCACCCAGTCATAGTGGTTTCTTGATAGCAGAACCTCGTCCCATCTCACATTCGATCCAACCCAACTACAAAATACTCACGCCTATAATGGCTCAGGTCAAATAGTTCTTGG